GATTAACACTTTTAGACCAGTAATTAGAGGATATAATTTATGCAAGAAATGTTCGTGTATCAAAACGGGTTCCTACTGAATTTATATACGACTTTAATATATTTCATATTTAAGTCCAATCCAACATAAAAAGTATGTTTTAAATTTTATCAAAGTATGTCTATGTTTATAATTGGTTAATTAAATTGGTTTATATTATTTTTTTTAAATAATTATACTAATTTTATTCTATATATATATGTCAAAGAATTGATGCACTAAGTTAGAACAAAAAAAAACTAAGTTTGTTTTTTTCTCTCTTTTTTGCTATACCCGTGGTTAGTTTTTTTTCCTTTCATCTTTGTGATCGGAGGCGACACTAGTTCTAATTCAGATTGATGATCATCGGAATTCATTATTTTTCTTTGCTCTATTATAGTCTATCTTTGTTTTTTCTTATTTTTTATTGTTAATAATTTTACCTTTTTGGCACGTATTTCTCTGTCTTTATGACATATTTTCGGTTGTTTAGCTGTTGTTTTCGTTTATTTTTTCATGGTTGGATTTGACACCGTCACGACTGATTAAGATAGAGCTTATTTGTTATCATGATGGTCTTTCATGCTTTGGACCTTCAAATTGAATTTGGATATGCGATTTGCGTTCGTGAATAATATTTTCACATTGCTCGATTCAGATTTACGGTATGTCAGTGATCTTTCAATAATTTTATTTACTTTTGTGGTTCGTTTTCCGATGTAGTAAGATCTATTCGTATTTATCTCTTGTTCGAGTTTATTTGGTTTGATTTTTAATATTTTCCTTGTATAGTTATTGTGTGTGATTTTAAGTGGCTAATTTTCTTGTATTTAAGAAAATATTCTTATTATATATTTAGTTTACAATGTTGTAAATTGGATATAAAATTAGCGCCTTCTATAAAAAAAATTAATATAAATGTATTTTTACTCTTTCAAGCATGTCAATGAGTGTTGGCACAAGTGGTTGAGATTCAGAAATTTGAGTTTGTAAGGCCAAGTTCAAATCCCACCACCGTCACTCTTGGTGAGTAATTTTGTAAAGTCCTATTTAAATTTCAATTGGGTCTTAGGTATGTCCTGCCCTGGACTGGAGGAGCTATCCATGACCTAAACTTTTATCTCTTAATGTACCAAAAAAAAAACATGCGCAATATAATCTAATTTTCAATGTATACATTATATCATTACATGTTATTATAATTTAATTTTAAGTGATAGAAATTATATAATATTATATAAATTTAAAAATGAATTGGGCTGGATCAAGTTTGTTAAACTTAGAACATAAATCATATTTTAAACATATTTACCTTTATCAAAATTATTTTAAATTTCAGATGGAATATTAAATATATATCGATAACTTGATCCTTAAATAATTTTACCTCGTACTAATATCTTAAACGTGTCGAATCGGCATTCTTTTTTCCTTGGATGAAGTGGTTTTTGAGGGAAACTTAAGACTCCTACTTTACACCATGATTCTTGCTTCACCTCTAAGTAATTCCTAAGCCACCTTCAGCACAACTTTATTATGGAATGCGGACGGAAGAGGAGGACAAATTTGGTTTCATGAAGCATGAAAACTTATCACACACTCCATATTACAAATGCCACGTCCAGTTCAAAGACATTTTTTGAATGAAAGCTACAAATTGACATAGAAGAAATGATTGTAAATATAGAGATTTAAATCTAAAAGTTTTTAAAGATCATTTATGTTAGATTACTAAATTAGGGTTTAAGAAATAGGAGAGTTTAATTTGTAATATGAAGAAGTAGTTATGTATCATGATGTTCCCATCGACTCCAATGTTTTTGTTCATTCTTTTTTATAGTGATCTACACATGACATGTCAGAATCTAATTAATTTTAATTAAAAATATTGCACCGCGCCATTAATTGGATGGAACTTCTACTTGGCATCTCCCCTTTTCCAATAACAATATATGTATGCTTTAGCTAAAGAACTAATGGGGACAAAGTAAAATCCAAATCCAGGCAAAAGAGTTTCGAGGTAAGCAGCTAAATTCCACGCTCTACACGCGCCTGACTCGTCCACCTAGTCCTTTTATGAGCAAGATGAATTTGATCCAACAATGCCGAACAGCGCGTGGGAACGTTTAAAAGCTGAAGCATATGATATGCAGTACCATTTTATTGGTAAGGCATGGAGAGTTGGAAAAGAATAAGGCATAAATGGACTAAGGTTGTGGTCACCAAATGTGGGTCAATGGAGTTGGTCGCCGCATATCCCTTGGAAGATGCTGCCATTTCCTTTTTGTTAAAACCCACAGAAGAAGAAAACCACATTTCAAAAAGTCTTACATGTTACAAGTGATCTAACGATAAAAGGAAATGCTGTCATCCTAAGCGAAGCTAGAAGCCATTCAAGAATATGCTTATGGTCAGATATTTCAAGATCTCCAGTGGTTTCACCTAGTCATAGTGCCACCCCCACCTAAAGAACTTGGTGGGAGGTGGCAGAGTATAAATATGTAAGGTGAGAAGTTTGATATGATGGGGGGAAATGGATGGGTTTGGCTGAATTCAACCTCTTCCAGGGGAATTTCCCCCAACGGGGCAACTACAATCCTTTGGCATGCTCTATTTTCAGTGGAAGAAGATGATCTCCTATCTCTTCACTTCATCACGCGATTGAAGAAACCGGGGTTTTTGAACTGCAGTCATCAGATTTCAGTGTAAGAACTGGTTTCTTCCACAGGGCAACTTCAATCCTTTGGCAGTTTCATTTCTCTGTGTGCTTAGATTTCATTGGAAAAAAAAGGGGTCAATTATGAATATCATAAGCAGCATGAGGTGGAGTTAGTTTTCTAGTTTAGTAAGCAGTAATGTTTGTGTTTATTGTTTACTTTTATTCTCTTCTCAGGCTTTCTTAGTGCACGTTGCATGAAATAAGCAACGGTTTGGGTTGTTAGCGTTTGTGATTTTGATTCTGTATTGTATCAGAATTCAACAAGTGAAAAAACAATATAGATTTGATCAGCTACTTCAGAGTCCAGATTGTTATGGATTTTGCAGACTTCAAAATGAATGTATGGCATTGGCGCTGCTCATCTTGATATATAAATTTTCCTTTCGGAGGTGTGATCAAATCCACCAAACAGTGCTGAATGTTCCCAAATTTAATTTACAGACAGACAAAAGAAAGAGGAAGAACGACTTGCTCGAAAGCAGAATATTCCAAGTGTCTGTCTCAACGGCCATTATTTTTAGTTCAACACGTTTCTCTCTGTTTCAAAGCTACTTTTAAATCGCATGGCATAAACAAACTAATAGGCATTGATCGCAACAAGCAAAATCACATCTGTTATTCTGATTAGGAAAAATAGAAACATAAAATCTATGTGATGTTATTCTTGTATGAATCAATTGAATTAAACTTCTTTGTTTTCATAAACTAAAGCCTTAATTATATAAACTAATGATTGATTCAGAGTATGTCATTTCTGATATGATCGTTGTTCTTGGTTTTTCCCATATCAAGGTGAGATATAATATATCACGTGAACTATCCCTGATGATTATTTATTTATTTATTAAATAAAAACGTAGATTGCATTAACCATCAAGAGCATCATATAAAGTAATGTCATACACACATTTAGGACAATCATAAATAAAATATAACAATGAGCAATTAATGACAACTTGATGAGCAAAAGCGTGAATAATTGAGGCAATGACATATTACTCCAATGTCCCCGAGCACCAGATGTAGAGGAGGATAAAGAGTATCCAAAATGATCAAATGAAAAACCAAACTCTCCTTAATCGTAATTTCATCTGGCACATATATCCAAAAGCTAACGAAATATCATATACAAACGACCACGCATCAAGAAAACAAACAACTAAGGAAACCTATAGAACCATAAACCAATAGAAGAAACATACACCAAGAGTTCGAAAGTACCAATATCCTAATACCTTTTATCAAGAAAAGGCCAAAAGAAAACATTATCAAAATATGATAAAATACAAATGAAAACTAATAAAATTGAATAACTATAAATTAAATAAAAGTACAGAAACGACAGGGGTTGGCCGGGCAAAGCCACCGCCGCTGCCCTTGACGAATAAAAAATGTGATAAGTCATAACTGCTTGTAACTGCAACATAGAAAGAAAAAGAGAGTTGAGAACTTCTTTTCTTATTTGAAAATTAATGTTATAGTTATATTTATTTCTTTTAAATAATGCATGGTTAATGGTTTGTTCACATTTTTATTCATCAATAGATTTATTATTATATTTATTTAATGTTAATAAATTATATGGATATACATTTTTTTGAAATAATTTTTATTTAGGGGTTAGAAATTTTTTTCATAATCAATATTGAACTTACAACTTAAGGGAGAAAGGAGATGTCAACCGAAAGTTTTTAACCATATGCTTTAGAGATTGTTAACATGAATATACATTTTTAAATGAATGAATATGAATATAATTTTAATTTTTTTTAATAAATATGGATATGAAAAATAACGTGAATAATGATTTATTAAGGCTGTTGCCTAATTTCCTAACATTAGCTAGAAATGCAAAATCAGTTTTGTGTTTTCTGAATGAGTTGGGTTAACTTTAAAAGTAGAATGCGCTACTTGCCCAAATTCAAAATCCCATGTTTATTTATTACGGGCGAGGAAGAATCCAAACACTATAATAAAGATAATGGAAATAAATTCGATTATTTAAAATTCTAAGTACAAATTTATTTAAAGGTAAAGTATAGTAATGGTCACTGAACTTTTCTAAAGATTTCATTTAGGTCTCTCAACTTTTAAAACTCACAATACAATCCTCCAACATTTATTCCATTTACAATATGGTCTCCGACGTTACACTGCCGTTAGTAAGTTTGCAATATGGTCACTGAAATTTTTAGGCACTTGCATTTAGGTCCCCCAACTTTTAAAACTTGCAACACAGTCCTCAATTTCATTCTAACCCAAATTCATTTTCGATCTCGAATTTCCTTTATAAAGTTCTTTAATCAAAGGAGATAGATCTATTCAAGGTGCATTTACTTATTTTATCGTGTTTGTTTATATAAAATACTTCTAGTTTACAAGTCAATTAAAATGCTTAAATATATAAATGACCTTTAATTACATGATATTATTTTATAAAGTCTCATCAACTATAAAGTTACAAAATGTGTCTTAAGAGTTTTGTTTATCAGTTTCCGACTATTAAAGTTACATAATGATCACATTATTATTCGTATGTTTAAACTTGTCTTTTTATTAAAAAAGTAATGGCCGTTTGAACCAACACTAACCCGTTGAATGAAATATGATGAATATGTTAAACATCCATAAATTTTCAAGTTAAAAAATTGTTTATACAAAAACGATGCTCCTTTATTTTTGAAAGAAACAAATATACAATAAATTTATAACTTAACTAAAATATTTCAATATTTATATGCCCACTTAAGTACATTATCATATCAGATGATTCATCGAGACTCTTCCATTATTGTTGATATCCTATCGCGAATAAGAAACTTGTAACATGCACACAAAAGCAATCTGGACGTTTAGCTTAAAAATTCAACAATATACATTTATTCTATACTATTATGAGGTTCACATACATAAATGTGCAAGTCAAATATGAACATGTACGCATTAAGTATAAGATCTATAATCCTTAATTATTAGGGATTATTATACTTACACAAGTACAAAGAGTAGCATAGTTCATCAAATAGGTATACTAAAGTTTTTAATCCTTAATTAATTATGAACATGCATTATAGATCTATAAACCTTAATTAATTATTATAGATTATCAAATGAAATTGTTATTTTATTCATTAACTTTTGACTTTATTTGGAAGGAATTCATGGTTTTTATTTAGTATCTGAACTTCTAAAGTTTATTTTCTCTTTATTTATCTTAATAAGTTTTGTAGGTTATACCATAAGCTTTGATTTTATAAGACTATGATATAGCAATATTAAAGATAAATTTTCATATTTATTTTCTAAATAAAAATTGATATCGAAAAAATTTGGGGTTTAGAATGAAATTGAGAATTGTGTTGCAAGTTTTAAAAGTTAGGGGACCTAAATGCAAGCGCATGAAAAGTTTAGTGACCATATTACAAATGTACTAAAGGCAGTGTAACGTCGGGGACCATATTACAAACGGAATAAATGTTAGAGGATTGTATTGTAAGTTTTAAAAGTTGGGGATCTAAATGAAAGCTTTAAAAAAATTCAGTGACCATTGTTATACTTTACCCTTATTTTAATGATTAAAACACTCACATAATTATAGAAAATTTCCTTCTTTCTCCTCCGCTTAATATACATCTATTACGCCTTTGCCACTCTCTTTACTATAAGGGGGCGTTTGGATGTAGGATTTTAACATTACTAGTGGGAATATTTTTTTTTCTACTTGTGATTCTCATGTTTGGATGAACAATATTCCTAATAGGGGGTAATAAAATATTACCAACAATAGCTTTTTTTCAAATATCATAAATTTATTATCATAACTTTATTTCAAAAATATTCCCAACCGGGAATTTTATTTATTTATTATCATAAATTTTTAAATATTAATTAAGATTAAAAGAAGAGAAAATAATCTCAGTGACCGAAAATGTCTTATAATATACGATTTTAACCAATTTTTTTTAGATTTGCCAAAATGACCAACAATATCGCAACGCGAACTCTAATTTTTCAACCCAGTTTCCAAATTCGCAACTCGATTTTGCGATAGTCCAAGTTCGCGTTGCGATTTTCCAAATTCGTTGTGATTTTCCAAATTTACGTTAGTCCAAATTCGTTGCGATAGTCCAAGTTCACGTTGCGATAGTCGAAGTTCGCATTGCGATTTTCCAAATTCGTTGCGACAGTCCAAGTTCACGTTGCGATTTTCCAAAATCGCAACGACTGGTGGTATTGCATTTGTTTCTTAAGAATTTTCTCTAAAAAGATAGTATCCGCGCGGACGTGTCGAAGACACGTATTACCACGACCACGAGACGAGACGGGACGGGACGGCGGCAGTGCGCGAGAGTCCCCCTTGTTCTCTTCCACTCAACAAGGAAGTGGGAAATCCAAGCCTTAAATACTCATTCCCGCATTTGTTTCTTAAGAATTTTCTCTAAAAAGATAGTATCCGCGCGGACGTGTCGAAGACACGTATTACCACGACCACGAGACGAGACGGGACGGGACGGCGGCAGTGCGCGAGAGTCCCCCTTGTTCTCTTCCACTCAACAAGGAAGTGGGAAATCCAAGCCTTAAATACTCATTCCCAATAGTGTTTCCAATACTATGTGGGATTGAACATTGCCAACACTGGGAATCTTTTACACTATCGCAACACATTCTTTATTGTTTCAAACTACGATCTTACAAATGGCTTGAGAATTTTACACTATCGCCAAACACATCTTATTGTTTCAAACTCCACGTGAATTTGGAATAGTTAAAATGTAAACTTATTTTGGATTTTTCACTATCGCAACAACAAGTTTTTCAAACTCTCGCAACACATTTTTCAAAATCGCGTTGCGAATCTTACAATCGCGTTGCGAATTTGGAAACCGAGTTGAAAAATTAGAGTCGCGTTGCGATTTTGTTGGTCATTTGGCAAATCCAAAAAAAGTGGTTAAAATCGTATATTATAAGACATTTTCGGTCACTGAGGTTATTTTCTCATAAATAAATCAGGCCACAAAGATTATACAATCTTTCATGAAAAAAAAAAAAAATCTTTACTAAAAAATAAAAGAAAAAGGCAGTGCAACCTGCAACGTACCTTGGAGGGAGAGAATTATTTGGGACTACAATTAGGGTGTGTTTGGTTCATGAAATGTAACATTACCTCCGGGAATAAGATTACCGGAATGTTACATTACTGGAATGTTACATTATTGGGAATGTTACATTATTGTGTTTGGTTTGTTTGACAGGAATATATGATTACAATGTTTGGTTAAAGAAATAAAAGATTATTGTAATGCATATTTTACTAAATTGTCTTTATGATATTTTTTTAACAAGTTGAATTCCAAATATTCAAATGAAAATATTTATATAAAAATTCATAAAAAATATATTATTGTATTATTTTCAATTTATATATTTTTTATTAAATTTTAAATTCATAAATTTTATATTTTTTTACAAAATTTAAAAAATAAATGTGTAGATTAAAAGAGTAAATATATCATATATTCTTTTAAGAGAAAATAACCTCAGTGACCAAAAATGCCTTATAATATACGATTTTAACCAACTTTTTTTGGATTTGCCAAAATGACCAACTAAATCGCAATGCGATCGATAATTCGCAACGCGATCTTCGGTATCGCAAATCAGTTTCCAGATTCGCAACGCGAACTTCGACTATCGCATTGCGATTTACATATTCGCATTGCGATAGTCCAAGTTCGCGTTGCGATAGTCGAAGTTTGCGTTGTGATAGTCGAAAGTTTGCGTTGCGAATCTGGAAACTGATTTGCGATAGTCGAAGTTCGCGTTGCGATTTATTATAAATTCGTTGCGATAGTCCAAGTTCGTTGCGATAGTCGAAGTTTGCGTTGCGATTTATTCCAAATTCGTTGCGATTTATTCCAAGTTCGTTGTGATTTATTCCAAATTCGTTGCGATAGTCGAAGTTCGCGTTGCGATAGTCCAAAATCGCAACGACTGGTGGTATTGCATTTGTTTATTAAGAATTTTCTCTAAAAAGATAGTATTCGCGCGGACGTGTTGAAGACATGTATTACCACGACCACGACCATGACCCGAGACGAGACGAGACGAGACGGACGACGGCGGAGTCCCCCTTGTTCTCTATCACTCAACAAGGAAGTGAGAAAGCCAAGCCTTAAATATCATTCCCAATAGTGTTTCCAATACTATGTGGGATTGAGCATTACCAACATTTGTTTCCAATACTATGCGATTATTCAGGAAACAATTAACAATCATGCACCTTAAAACAACTGAATCAGCAACCAATTGCATTAGTATTATACTATTAAATATGTCATAATTAAAAGTCAATCTACAATCAATCGCGATTATTGTAATTTTAAGCAAAACATTCAAAAAAAAATTGCATCACTCGCGAGAATAAAAAAAATTATTATCGTGCAATTACAATCAATTGAAAATAAATTAGAATTGTATGAAAACTAAACGAACCACAAATACTTTTCATACAAATACTAAAGTCATTAACTATAATTCACAAATAATATCACTATTTAAGGCTCAATCCCACATAGTATTGGGAACAAGTGTTGGTAATGCTCAATCCCACATAGTATTGGAAATACTATTGAGAATGATATTTAAGGATTGGCTTTCCCACTTCCTTGTTTGAGTGATAGAGAACAAGTGGGACTCTCTCACGCCGCCGCCGTCGCCGTTCGTCTCGTCTCGGGTCGTGGTCGTGGTAATACATGTCTTCGACACGTCCGCGCGAATACTATCTTTTTAGAGAAAATTCTTAAGAAAAAATGCAACGCGAACTTCGACTATCGCAACGAACTTGGAATAAATTGCAACGCGAACTTTGACTATCGCAACGAATTTGGAATAAATCGCAATGCGAACTTCGACTATCGCAACGAATTTGGAATAAATCGCAACGAGAACTTCGACTATCGCAATGAACTTCGACTATCGCAACGAACTTGGACTATCGCAACGCGAACTTGGAATAAATCGCAACGCGAACTTGGACTATCGCAACGAATTTGGAAAATCGCATTGCGATAATTGAAGTTCGCGTTGCGAATCTGGAAACTGATTTACGATACCGGAGATCGCGTTGCGAATTATCGATCGCATTGCGATTTAATTGGTCATTTTAGCAAATCCAAAAAAATTTGATTAAAATCATATATTATAAAGATTTTTTGTGACAGAAGTTATTTTCACTTTATTTTATTGTTTCCTTTGCAGCAAAACCCGAAAAATAAGTACAGGTCGAAATTAAATTGTCTTGATTTTTGCAAGGTTTAATCTTTTCAGAATGTCAAGTTTTACTCTTTTTTCCCTCCTTTTGTGGTGTTTGATGTACAGGCATGTTGTTCTTCCTCCTGAAGTGGCCAAACTTCTCCCCAAGAATCGCCTCCTCTCTGAAGTATGTTTCTTTTGTTAGGGTTTTACTCGACTTTTTAAAGCATTTTTGTTTATCTTATAAAAATCATTTTAGTGTCTTTTTGTTTAATATTTCCTTCAATTTTTTCAGAAATAGTTTGCGTAGTTGGTTGTCCATTCAGGCAATTGATTACTAATAACCATAATTTATGAGTTCTTGAGTTTCAGCGTTCATTACTTATGCAAATGTAAATAACTGGCTCGCTATCGAGCAACTCAATGCCTTCACTGCTTGTGTATTTTGTACCAATTTTCCATCTTATCGAAGTACATACGCATTGTTTTATGAATGTAATCTGTTGCCTTGTAGGCAGGGGAAAAGCCAGAAATCCTTTTTTTGGGGTGACGATATTTAATTGTAAATTTTCAGTGGTAAAGTCACTGAATTTTTACTTGTTTCCATTCTTGTCAAAATGCATAACTTCAGAGTTCTCATTTTCACGATTCTTGTTCTATAGGACATGGTAGATTTCTACCAAATGGTTTTTGAAGTATGAATTGGATGATGAACTACAAAGTCACAAAAAATTATGCTGTTGGGGAGCATGACTTCTTGTTCCTTTAACTTACCCATTTGCATAACTTCCGATTTCTTGAAGACGTGATTCTCATCTTATAGGATGAGATAGATTTGTATTGCCTTGGTTTTGAAGTATGATTTCGAGAACAAACTAAGATTTTTAAAACATATATTTGTATCTTCTTAAGACTCCCCAATTTCCTTGTTTTGGGGCAAAAAGTATCGATGCTGTTGTGTCGTGTCCATTGGTGCTTCTAGGTTTATCAAGGTTTGCAGTGATTCTGATTTTGGTTCATGTTGCTGCCCATTTGTAGAATGAATGGCGTGCTACTGGAGTACAGCAGAGTCGTGGTTGGGTTCATTATGCTATTCATCGTCCTGAACCACACATCATGCTCTTTAGGAGACCTCTAAACTATCAGCAGCAACAGGAGAATCAGTCCCAGGAAAGCATGCTTGCCAAGTAATTATATAAGTGTTTAGTGCCCCAAAAGATGGGTGAAAACCAAAGTACTTTGTTAGTGTTTATCTCTATTAAACAGTTTGGGTGTTGTGGATTGTTTTGTTATTTAGTTCTCTACTTTGGAGAATTCCAGGTCAGGCTTGCTTCTTGCTACTTGCTTTCTTTATCTGGCCATCTAATGTTATTGGTACCCTGCATCTCACTTTTTTAGCATGGATGATTTTTTAACCTTAGTGAATTTAAGTATTATACATTTATATAAATTTTGATGAGTTGATAAGTTGCATCCTAATAAATTTTATGTTTTTTTATTTTTATTTTTGAAGTAGTTTTCTCATCTATCCTATGAAAAATCCGGCGTCTCTTAGTAGACGTCGCTAAATTTATAAGAAAAATGTAAACATCAAGGATTAAAGTCAAGTCATTCTTCTCATGATAACAAAGGAGTGACAAAAATATTCATATTTGAAAATATTTGTAATAAAATTGATTTTTTTTTTATATAATTTAGTGGTCAAAATAGGAGAACATCAGTAATTTGTGTTTAACTGTACAATTTAACCTGTTAGTAATGCTCTGCGTTGACGGATTTACAAGGGTAAATTAATTTTCATCATTGAACTTACTCATCTTACTACTGCATAATATGCGACCACGTTTGGATTATGCAGATTGGAGAGGATAACTGCTTCACCATGAGCTCCAAGGGTCTATCTTTTCCCATCATAAAACAAATATTTGACAACATTATGCTATTACTGTCTTGATTGTTTTAGTTATATTTAAGGTGTTTTTCTTAATAAAACAATAAAAAATATGTTTGATAATATTTAATTATGTTTTTATAATTATTAATAAAATATTAAGTTCAAATTTTAAAGTAATGAAATATATATTCGTTCAACAGGGACTTATTTTAAATTTTATTCGGGGTGGCAAAAAGTTTTGAGTCAACTCCGTAGTAGAGAATGAAGAAAGAAAAAATTGGAAACATTCAACTTTAGGTTCATAAATTTTAGAGGTTTTCAATTAATCGTACTATTAAATTCGTGTTAGTGATGGTCAAAATTAAAGTTATAGCGATAGGCAGCAATTAAAATTTAAGTTCGTTAAAAAGTGAGAGAGCAAAAAGTAAGGGGGAAAAAGAAAAAAAATGAAAATTATATTTTTAGTTTTATATAAATTTAAAATGATGTTGTTTTAAAGATTTTTTCATAGATTTAAATATGGTTTTTGATAGTTATTATATCGTTTGTAATTTAATGACAAATAATAGAATATTAAAAAATAAAAAATTAAATGGTTAAATTGAAAAAACAATCATATTTAGACCATTACTATACTTTACCCTAAATAAATGATAAAATGATTATGTGTAAGAAGTAAAAAGTTATTTTTCCAATTAAGATGTTTGTTATCATTTTTGAAAAATTCCTCAAGATTATATAGTGATTTCTGGGAAATCATAATTACAATATGAACTATTTGGTTCCCCCGAAACCAACCTTTTATACATGGGAGTATTTCATAGGGGGAAGATGTTATGCTATTTTTTTATTATTAATATGGGATAACTATAAGGTAATAATGTTTAAAGATAACTCTCACTATTTGAAATTGAATGTCCGTATCTTCAGTATTCTTGGTGTTCGTGCCCGAGACTTAAAAAATAATAAAAATTCCTTTTATTACCAAGATCGCTTGGATTAATAACTTCAATCATATCGGAACATGATAATGTTTCATATTTCATATTTTTTTATTTATATATAATTTAATTAAAAATGTAAACAAATAACCATAATTGCTTGTATAAAATTTAAAAATCATATATCCCATTATCCAATATGTACATGAATGAAGGATAAATCGTGGATAATGAAATTTTAAGTAAAAATAAAGAAATTTTGTATTTTTTACATAAGATGTAGGCATAAAGGACCGTGAACAGGTGCCTAAGATCCAAGTATCGTAAGACATTTTACCACTAAACTGACAACTGTATTAACAAGTACTTCAACTGAAACATAGAGACTTTTGTTTGTTCCTTCACGGTTAACCACTACCTTTTCGCGCGGATTGTCGAGTGAATTTAAACCTTTAAAATCGCACGACAAATAAACTCGGGCAGTAACAGTAATCAAATGGTAGAAATACAATCAAATCACAAATTTCATCATTAAAAATTTGTTTTGTCTACTTTAAGTGATTAGACTCCGCAATCTTTTTAAAAGATAATTATTTATTTTTTTGTATTTTAAAATTTTATTAATTTATCTATTGATAAATATTCATCTTTAAATTAAATAACTTTTTAGGATCAATTAATATTATATATCACATTAATATTTCAAACAAGAAAAGAGCTTAACTTAGTTAAATTATTAAAATAATATCTTTTTAATATTTATTTATTAAATAATACTAAAAAATATATTTTAAAAAAGAGAAAATAACCTCAGTGACAAAAAATGCCTTATAATATACGATTTTAACCAACTTTTTTGGATTTGCCAAAATGACCAACTAAATCGCAATGCGATCGATAATTCGCAACGCGATCTCCGGTATCGCAAATCAGTTTCCAGATCGCAACGCGATTCTGACTATCGCATTGCGATTTCCAAATTCGCGTTGCGATTTTCCTAATTCGCAACGCGATTACGTAAATCGCAACGCGATTACGTAAATCGCAACGCGTATCTGTAAATCGCAATGAGAATACGTAAATCGCAATGCGTATCCGTAAATCGCAACGACAATACATAAAATCGCAACGCATATCCGTAAATCGCAATGCGATTTTTAAAGTGCCATTACAATCGCTACGCGTATTTTATTTTCAAATTCCAAACACGAATATTAATTATCAGAACACTGAACCGTCCACAGTATATCTCGTAATCGCAACTCATAACCTAAAACCTAAAATCACAACTCAGTCACATCTCCATCTCTCACTCTCTAAGGCGAAATCCGTCCCCATCTCCAAAGATTTCCGTCCCCTCTCCGGCGAAATCCCTCACAACCATTCACGGCCAGAAATCCCCTCAATCATTCAGAAATGGAAAATCAACCTCCGAGGGTTAGTTTTTTAATTATTTTTATTTGAAATTTTGCATTATTTTAGGTTTTTCTTATTGAAATTGATGATAAGTTTACTGGTAATTTCAATAATAGATTAACCATTTCACTTAGATTTCTTATTAAATTCATTCGATTGCTGCCAATACTGCTAAACGTTTAGTCTTTAACCCCTGTGAAGTTAGTATTTGTCTTTGTTTTGTCTTTGGTTGAAGTAATGCAATCCATTAAAGTTTCAATTTACAGAAGAAGAATAGTTTTCTAAACTTAAAATCGCAACATGAAAATGAAAATCGCAACACGAAATGACTATCGCAACGAGAGAAATGAAATCGCAACGCGAAATGAAAATCGCAACGAGATAATCGCAACGCGAAACCAAAATCGCATTGCGATTTTCATTTCGCTTTGCGATTCTCTCGTTGCGATAGTCATTTCCGCGTTGCAATAGTCGTTCTCTCGTTGTGATTTTTATTTCAACCAAAAGACAAAACAGTGTTGCAAATTTTAGTTTCAAGAATAAACTACTACTCTTTATGTTTATTGTTTTTGGTATATCTTCACAGTGTAGTTTTTGGTATATCTAACTTGGTATGTTTATTGTTTTTGTAGAATTTTTTTTCGGCTTCATTGACATTAAGGAATAAAGTTAGCCTAGCCACTACAATTGCTTCGAAGCTTTCACCTGCACAAAGAAATTGTTTGAGGAAACCTGCTTCGGGCCATGGCTGAGAGTACAACATCCGGGTGGAGATGCTAATTTGACCCATTTGTGGCTTCAGACCATGACTAGCGATCTACCCGACAGTATACACGTGGTGAGGAGAGATATGGTTTCATTTTCCACCGGCGTATACTTGTTTTGGGCGGAAGGAGTTCTGCTTAATCACTGGTCTACGATTCGGACACGATGATGTAGGTCGGTACACTCGTCATAGCACCCGCCCATCATGGTTATCCCGGGTTTTTCCTGATGAGTCAATAGAGAAGTCGAACTTACACGTCGACGACCTGAAGAAATTGTTTAATAAGAAAGATGGTTTTACCCGGATGAATGACGTCGATGTTGTCCGAGTATGCCTTCTAGTACTTTTGTATGCCGGCTTTTTAGGCAGAGAGGCCAGACAACCTATTCCTCAGGAGCTAATTTATTGGTAGATGACCTAAATGCATGGAATCTGTTTCCGTGGGGTTCGTATATATGGAAAGCTACCTGGACTAAGTTGTCGTCTGCCTTTGATGACCGCAAAAGTTTGCGTGGCAATGGGGTCGAAATACACTTTGTCAGCTTTGTTTGCGCCTTTAAGGTAAGAATTTCTATATAATGTTTTCAAAATTATAATTAATTATTTAACAATTACTAATGTTTGTTATTATATTGTTTGTAGATTTGGATATTCGAGGCTTTCCCCAGCATGCAGACATATGCATTAAAAACTTCAAATGATATTCCTAGGGCTATTTCCTGGAAGAGGAAACGTCTGTTGGATTGGAAGACTTATACCATATGCGACAATAAATAATGTAAGTTAACACAATACTATCATATATAAACAAGTTATTAATAGTAGACGTTTAACTTTGTTTGAGTTTTATATTTTTAGGAGGCCAACACTCCATTACAGAGACTGACACCCACGGAGGCTGAGCTTGCCACTGATTGGTGGCAAGCTAGTCAGCGTTTTTTTGATGGCACGAATGATGATCAGCCTCCACTTCCTCCACTTCGAGAGCCATCACCTCACCCAGAGCCATCACCTGATCGACCCGACTATACATCTACAACGAGAGCCATCACCTATCCGTCACATCATCAAGCCTCTTCTCCACCATCACCTCATGATAGGCGACCGGCAAAGATGCCATGACTTCTATCTCCCTGTTCTCCACCTCCACGGGATGAGTCAAGGGAGTTACGTGATGAGGTCAATGCCTTGCGTGAGAAGATCGGTACTCTACGCGATAACGATGGTGCATGGCGTGTGGAGGTGTCTACTTTACGTGGTGAGGTTGCCGCTCTACGTGAGATGGTAGTATCGTTACAAAATGAGGTTCATACTCTACGCAACGAGGTAAGTTTAAGATTTTCATATTTAACTTGATGATAAATTTACTCGTAATTTCACTTAGATTAACCATTTCACGTTGCGATTTTAAGTTCCAGAAACTATTCTTTCTTCTGCAAATGAAACTTGAATGAATTGCATTACTTCAACCAATAGACAAAGACAAATACTAACTTGACAGTGTTGCAAGTTTGAAACATATTTGTCTTGTTATCTGATGCATTTTGTGAACTATGATAGAATAATGACTTGGGTGAATACAATGCAAGTTTGAAACATATTTGTCTTTGTTTTCACTGTTTAAATATCATGTCTGTTTATTTACTGATTTTTGTATTTAATTATTTAGCGGCCCGATAAGGTGGATGCTTTACGTCGGGTTTTTCTTGCACGACGGAGTTCACGCATCAGACGGCGTGCACGTGCTATTAAGTCTCCTTACACCCCAATAGTGCGAAGACACCGCAAGAAGAAGCCAGACTCACCTGTCATCCCTCAAGAGTCCACTCCTATCGTTGAAGAGGCCCCTATCATTCCTCGAGAGTCCCCTCCCACCGTTCAAGAGGCCACTGTCATCGTTGAAGAGGTCCCTCCCACCATTCAAGAGCCCGATTCACATGGCGTCATATGTAGATTCTTGAGAAACCCTCTGACGTGCCGGACATGATGGATGAGAGTTGGCTCTCGTATGAGTTACCGGCCAGTACCATTCTGGTATCTGAAGTGGAGAGGAGACAACTACCAGACACAATTCTGGATAACACCCTTTGGGCTAAGACCGCAGTTGATTTTTATCTACATGAGAGGAGCCAGGGTGTTTCACTGACATATGCAAGCTCAAAGATGATATCTATTTGTTGCTTGATCGGTCTTGGTGGGGGCGTATTATTAGGGGTCGAAGATAATGGCTATTTCGATGGAGGGGTAAGTCTTATATTTTCTTATATTTCAATTTGATTTTTTTAAAATTTATGTAAGTCACTAATATATGTTTTTTTGTAAAAAATCATATCGATACGTGGGTGTCACGTCTTCTAATAATTAGGAAACTTAAGAAAAATAAAAGAAATACACTATATACAATTATGCCGACGTCTTTTAACGCCGTTCACTTGAAGAATCAACGAGATGAATCATTTGCGTTGGGCAATGGACAAGCTAAACTTTATCCTGCATGGTGGGAGGTCGATAAGGTTAGTATTTATTTTAGATTGAGTTTAAAGGTATTCATAAATAAGTGCGCAAATGAATGAATTATTACTTATGATTGCAAGTGTTTATCCATGTTTTGGAACGTAAACATTGGCTTCTCATCGAGCTTCAGCTCCCATCCCTTAAGGCAATAGTATATGACAGCATGATAAATTACATATCATTGGCTGATTTAAGAGATATTATTAAGGGATGGAGCTCTCATTTGGCTAAATTCTTGGATGCGATAAACTATTGGGCTCGTTCTGGAAACAAGAAGCTCAATATTACAGTTAGCAGAGACGAGACCGCACCACAACAAACGGAAGGAGTCAGAGGGGATTGTGGTCCTCTCGTATGCTTGGCGTTGGAGCGTTTGATCAGAGGAAGTATAAAGTATCTACCTCCCACCGATAGAGATAGAGCTGCAGTAGGCTTATGGTTTCAGCATTATATGGCTAGATCGATATATACGAGATGCTGCCTACTTGCATCCACGTTATAAAAATGTCCATAAAAAATTGGTAAGTTTATAGGCTTTTGGTTTGAAAATGATTGGTTAAGTACCTAGAATTCAATAATTTGATGTTTGTATGTTTTAAATGTGTAGAAAGTGTTGTTTGAGCAAATGTTTGGTTTCTGCAGGTTAATCTCAGAAGTGAGCTGTGTGAAAATGATGTATGGCTGCAAAATTTGATTCAATAGTAGATGAGGAAATAAGAATTATTGCTTATTTTTTGATTGTTTAATTGATTTGTAAAAGATGATTTGTAAAAGTTGATTTGTTTAATTGATGTGAACATAATTCTTATTTGTGCTTGTTTAATTGATTGAAATGTAATGGTTGATTTTGTTGATTTCAATCTGCATTATGTTGAAGGCAAAAATGACTATCGTAATGCGAAATGAAAATCGCAACGAGAGAATCGCAATGCGAAATGAAAATCGTAACGACAAAATCGCAACGCGAAACTAAAATCGCAACGCGAAACTAAATTCCCGTTGCTATTTTCATTTCGCTTTGTGATTCTCTCGTTGCGATTTTCACGTTGCGATTTTCATTTCGCATTGCGATTCTCTCGTTGCGATAGTCAAATGAATGCCTAATAAGTGATAACAACTGAACAGATCATAGCAATTTTCAAACTCAAGTTACTAATACATGCCTAACTGAAAATGTTAAAAGTTCACACCTAAAATCCACATAATACAACGTTTGCATTTAAAAATCACCTAAGTTAACAGTCCCAAAAGGTGAAGCCGGTTGTGATTGGGATTTTAAAGATGATTGTGATTTTGATTGCCTTTTGCTTGACACCATATGAGCTTTGGATTTTGATGAGGATCCATATTTTGGTAGAGGAAAAGATTATTGTGATGGCACTGGTGATCCACATGTCAACCTTGTATGACCACTTTCCTTGCACCGACTACATGTCGATCTCTTCTTCTCTTCACCCTTAGACGGTATACGATCGTGACTTTTTGGTCGGCCAGGTAGCCTTCTGTCCATGGCTGGTGGAAAAACTGTTTGTAAGTCATCTGGTATGTCCCACTCAGAAGGATGTGGAATAGGGTAGACAATCTCGCCATAAGTCTGTCGATATACTTCTGTAGTGTAGCAATCCATAGCGTATGCGCTTGAATCATCTTGGTTTAGATGAAGAGAAACTTTTATAACATGGCCACACGGATAACCAGATGTTTTCCATTTCATACAACTACACGTCTTTGCATTTAGATCGACAAGCCCATTTAAGTTATTATCCAGTACTTCAAACAAAGTGTTTGAACATGGTTCAACTCTCCATGACGTTGACTTCACAACACGTTTCGTTATCTTTTTTTCTGTCCATGGTGTAACACGATGTTCCAATGTTCCTGTAAATTTAAATAAATAATACTTAGTAAAATATATGATAAGTTACGAATTTAAAGAAAATACATGCATGGTTTCTTTTCTTGTAGTACCACTGTTGAATAGAGGCTCAAAAAAACTCCATTAACATAGTAATGGGTAATTTTCGGGAATGACGACTTAGAGCGTTAATTGATTCTGCACTATTAGACGTCATGAAACCATATCTTGCTCCAAGTTGATGTACTCTTGACCATCTTTCAAACCCGACATCTTCTAGTGTTTGAGCACACTGAGGCAAAACACGTCTTAAACAGTTTATATGCTTATTAAAATCCACTTCCCGATAAGCTTTTACAGCATTCCAGTATGTCCATTTGTGATTTTTTATACCAGCAGACCTTGATTTTAGATTTCTATACAAATGAACACCACAAAGTCCATGAAAAGCATCTGGGAAACACCTTCTAACAGCGTTGTGAATTGAGTTTGCCCTATCGGATATGATTGTCAGATTGTTAATATGACCTATGCAATCCCTAAGATGCCTCATAAACCATGTCCATGAATCAGAGGTTTCAGATTTGCCAACCCCGTAAGCTATTGGCAGTATCCCATTGTTAGCATCCATGGCTACTGCTAATAAGTTTACTCCAAGGTATCGACCTTTTAAATGTGCTCTGTCAACTATAATAACTGGGCGCATGCAATTAATAAACGAACGAATCTACAAAATCATATACACAAGAAAATAATCATTTAAATGTGAAATGCATGTAACTAACAAAAATGAGTCAACAAAATTATATTGATTTACTAACCGCAGCACCAATGGCGATAAACAGCAACTCAAAGCGTCCATCTCTATCTGTTTTGATATGAGTTACCGACCTAGGATTTTTCAGTTTTAAATTGTGACAATAAGCCGGCAGTTGGGCAACGATGCTTCTGGCGACCCCTCAATAATTCCAAGGCATAACATTTGGCTCTCCAAGCTTGAGAATATGAGATACTAATCTTGAACCGAGCATTCATGTCAGTCATAATTTCATGTCCCCGATATACCCTACCATTCAAAAACATTAACTCAGCCAGAAAACCACCCAATACCTTTTTGTTTGCCTGTCTATGGTGAGGAAAAACTTGGGTTCTTGAACATGTATGTTTATCAATAAAAGTCCTAACTTGAAACTTTTCACAATCTTTTATCCTCTTTGCAATCATACGCCACATACAATTTTTGTCAATCATACATCTTATTTCGAAACGATCTTTGCTTGATTTGTTAACTTTTAGTTGATAGCCATCTTCCACACATTTCGTATACAAAGCTATCTTCAAGTCTTCCTTTGTATCAAAACAATCATCTTTCTTGATACGAATAATTTTTGTGTAACAATCAACTGCTATCTTTACCAACTCTTCTTCCGGTATCTGAAGTAATTTTGGCATATTCCAGTTATACTCCCGTGGCATTTTCTTCGGGGACTTTTCTTTGGGGATTTCTTCTTCTTCTTTTTCTTCTTCAGTGTTATATGAATTATAGAATGGATGTTCAACATGTTCATTTATAGTCGTAACTTCCTTCTCATTATCATCAACAACATCTTCCTCGGCAACGGCTGTTTCATCATCAAAATTCGGGTATTGATCAATATCAAAATCATTACACGCAGGGTCTGTTTCTTCTTCTGAAAAATCATCAAAATCCGAGTATTGACCAAGATCAAAGTCTGAGTATTGACCAATATCAAATTTCGAATACTGACTAGTACTCACAATTTTTTCTGTTGGCTCATCATCGTCTAACTGGTCAATACGAAAACCGGAATTTGGTGCTGAAAGTTGATTGGGATTTGGATTAGGGAAAGGTTGTGGGTTTTGAGATTGTGTTTGGTATTGGAAATGTGGTGAAACAATATTTGCTTGGTGATGAAATTGTGGTGGAACCATTAAATTTTGAGCACCATAAACTGGAGTTGAAAACTTAGTTGATTACTACCCGCTACTGACCCAACTTCACTACTTCTAGGTTTAACAACATATATGTAACATCATCACTTGAAACACTAATGTAGCAATGAATCGTTCAACATCTTCATTATCGGTTAACAAATAAACTTTACCATTTCTCTGATAAGATAGCCTAAATCCACTTAGGGACTCTAAATTCAATTTATTTGCAACACGTAACATTAGAGTTTCATAAGTTAACTTTTTTAATGACAGTTTTAGTTGAAGATTCATGGGTAAAGGCATATTGTAAAACACCATGAACATTCTCCCATGACCCTCCAAAACACAAATCTATCCAAACATGATCAACATTAGATGATTTCATTATTGTAAATTAATTTACTAAACAAACGAGTTGCGAAACTAAAACATGTTGCCGGATGAGGAAGGATGTCGTTGGATATAGGAACGGATGTCGCCGGAGAGAGTGATAGATGGAGATGAATGAGTTGCGATTTAGGGATTTAGGTTATGAGTTGATGCTGCTGCGTAGTTATATACCCGAAACATTTGTGTTGTGAAATTAAAACCTGTTGCGAATTCAGAAATCAAGTTGCAAATTTGAAATTTAGTATTGCGATAGTCAGAATCTCGTTGCGATTTACTAAATCGCAACGCGATTACGTAAATTGTAACACGATTACGTAAATCGCAATGCGAATACGTATTTGCATTGCAATTTACGTAATCGCATACCGATTTACGTAATCGCGTTGCGATTTACGTAATCGCATGCCAATTTACGTATTCGCGTTGCGATTTACGTAATCGCGTTGCGATTTATGTATTCGCATTGCGATTTACGTATTCGCATTGCGAATTAGGAAAATCGCAACGCGAATTTGGGAAATCGTAATAAGATAGTCAGAATCGCGTTGCGAATCTGGAAACTGATTTGCGATATCGGAGATCGCGTTGCGAATTATCGATCGCATTGCGATTTAGTTGGTCATTTTGGCAAATCCAAAAAAAGTTGGTTAAAATCGTATATTATAAGGCATTTTTGGTCACTGAGGTTATTTTCTCTTTAAAAAATAACACATATTTTTACCGCATAGAACAAGAATGCACATACGTAACATCTTTTAAAAGACTATTCCTCAAGAAAGCATATTTGCTCTCGTAACAAGCCCATAATTAATAGTAACGTTATTCGGTACCTGCCACTTAAGCAAAGGTTTTTTCTCAAGGAATAATCTTTCGGCGCTGCCACATAGGCACACTGAAATAGGGATGGGCATGGGACTCGAACTCGACAGGTTCCAACCCGACCTGATCGGGTCGTGTTTCAAAAAAAACGAGTTCGAGTCGGGATGGGTTTTTTACAAGGTGATGTTCGGGCCGGGTCAGGTTCAAGTTTAGGGTGAAAAATACCCGACCAGACTTGACCCGAAAAAATTTACCTTATATATTTATGAATAATTACAATAATACCCCTTTATATATTTTTTTCCAATTAAATCACTATTTGTATTGAATAAAAATAATATTTTTTAATGTTTTTGGTTGGGTCGGTTTAGGGTTTTATCTCAAAAAGTTGAGTCGGATTCGGGTGGATGGAAGGTATATATGTAATACCCCCAACCCATACCCGACCCGGATACGAGTCCAAGATGTCACATTGACTTGTCAAACTTTGACTCTTAAAGAAAATCAAGGAAATTTTAAAACTTTCATTGCAATGAAAGTAGTTAATTTACATAAGTTGACCCAAAACAATACAAAATCGATCAGAGTATTCGTAACTCACAATTTCTTACATGCCAACACACTATATACAACAAAATACCTACTTGGTCAGTTACTTCTGATCTGATCTTCTAATCAGGTATGCTATCTGTGCCACTCCTAATTATGGTCTTCTTGCTTCTTGGTACCTACGTGTAAATCACTTACACGCTAAGTCACAGACTTAGTGAGGCATAAAATGTACACATAATAATAATATCATGTACATGTACTACTACAAATCTATTATGACGTTGCGATGTATATGTATATACTACACTATGACAAATATAAATAGGATATTCACAAATGAATATTAACGTCTTATAAGAGTTTTCATTCAATTTATCTTTGGATGCCCATGTACATTATTAAGAACATGATGTACGTGAGTACAATGAGATTGTGCACAATGCTGTCATCACATCTCGACTAAATTCCCACTAGGGGCACTGAATATTTGTCTTGGATGACCACTATGTCCCGAATGACCACTTATCCCGAAGGACCATTGATAATCCCTCAACTCTTCGCATGCCAATTATACCTACAGATCTCATATTAAATAACATGGGCTTAAATATGAATACATTTCTCATTTCTATATATATTTTATCACTTTCCATATAAACACATAATTCACTTCATATGCACACATATTATCACTTCCATTATTTTACATACCTGGATTGATTCTCTTATAATTGCATTCATTCATATAATATCATATTAAAGCATGGATGTATTATGCATGAAATCACTATAACCAATATATATGAAATTATGAATTCAACTATAAGAGATAGACTTATCGCAAGTCTTATCTCCATACAACTCTACCTAGGATATGCACTCACCTTAGCCTTGCTTGCTTTGAATCGATCCTAATTCTTCGATTGTTCCGAAACGGGATTATGTTCAATATCTACATAATCATACATGGACCCATATCAGTATTCTAATTGGTATACTCTAATCTTTAATTCCTTAAACTAAAAGAAATACTACTTTCATTTCTTATTTAAGGTAAGTATCGATACACTCTATAGTGTATCGGTATATCCCTTAACGTGTGTATCGATACACTACCTATGTATCGGTACACAAATTACATTCGAAAGTTTTCATTTTAAGGGGGTATCGATACACTTCCTATGTATTGATACACTTTGAATATTTTCCTGAATTTTACCCTTGATGTATTGGTACCTGTTGAATGTGTACTAATACACACTAGCCCAGAATTCACATTTTAAGCACGAAAATTTCTTCATTTTTAGCTCAACACTTCATATTTCATTCCTTCACCTATCCTTAACTTACCTACTCATGCTTAAACTCATTTCTACTCCATAATCACTTCTTTAACCTCAAAATCCTATCCTTCATATGTAATTCAAGAATTACACAAACTTTGCAACATGTTCTAAATCTAATTCTAACACTTCATACTCCTTAATTAGATTGATGACAAGTCAAATCCAACTTCCAATTCTAATTATGAACTCTATTTCAAGATTTCATTCAAAAACTTCTAATCTTTAATCTCTCTTAACTCCATCATCTTTTGATTTTAAGATAACTTAAGCTTTCCTTAAGCTTAGTTATCATCTAATGATCATAAACCAACCTTAAATTCAACAAGAAACTAACTAACCAGAAAACTCACCTTTGTTTTGGCTCTCACGTATGAAGGAAGAAGAAGATGAAGAGAACTCTGGAAGCTTGCTTAATTTCCTTCACTTCCACGTGGTTAATATATAACCATTCAAAGATTTAATTATTTCCTTTTCAATTACCATTTTGTCCCTCTATTCCTCTTTCTTTGCATTTCAATCCTACACAACATTTCTCATATAGTCCTTATACTATTCAATTATTCTACTTTAATCACCAAATTCTAAAACTTTACAATTTAGTCACTAACTCGATTGGGGATGTTACAATATATTTTTTGGATCGAGTCGAGTTGGTAGAAACCCGACCCATGTACATCCCTACACTGAAATTAAAATTATTTTAGTACAATTTTAATAAATAAATATTAAAAAATATTATTTTAATAATTTAATCGCTTAACTTACAAAATTATCATAAAATAATTTGTCATATTATAATGTTTCATTCTTTAAGAATACTAATACTTTGTTCATGTTGATAAATTTATCATTCTTTTTTACCAAAAATAAATATTTTTTCTAAATTATATATTCCGTTTCAGGAAATGAATTCAATCTTCTTTTAGTTTTTTTTTTATAAACATGACATAAGATTTACATATTATACATTCTTATGATCAACAGTTATCTTTACTATTCATTTATGTGAAATGTGAAAGTCGAATGTCATAAGATATTGATTTATATTTCATTATTCCTTAACGACATTATCAGACTCCAAATAGGTTAATAATTGATTATTACAAAAAATATGTTTTAACATTTTTCCTTTAACATTATAAAAAGATATTAATATATATGATTTAACTTTTATTTATGCATATATTAAAAATATTTAACTTTTATTTATGCATATGTTAAAAACTATGTTTTCTTCTATTTAAAGAACTTTAAGAACATATATGGAAACCATTTAAATATATAATGAATATTATATTTTGTTATATTTATAGTTTGAATAAATTTATATAAATATTTTATTTTTAACAAGTTAAAAATTTAGTTCATATATAAAATTAAGAACTCATTAAGTGACTTCGGTGGTAAAAGATAATATTATTTTTTTTAGAAATTTTAGGTTCGAATAATTACATCTGTATGGTGTGTGTTCATTATCAATTAGTTAAAATTAATAAAAAAACATTAATAAAATTAAGTAAATGTGTTTAATATATTTCATACGTTACACTCAAATAAAATCGTTTCCTTATAATTTTTTCTTTTTAATTCCTTTTGTAAGGCGCTGCCATTGGAATAAATTTGGCCACTCACTTGGAAAAGAGCACTTAATCCATTATATAAACTCTACGCCTCTGGGATTGGTCCTAATGCTGTTTACTATCTGAATCGAAATCAAATCAAAAGGAGGCCGATTCCGTGAACGCAGGCCGCAATCTGTGAGTTGGAAATAGCCATGTTAACTCTACCGGACCAAGATAATCTGAACGAGTTCACACAGCCGGTGATTTCAGTCACCGAAGAGTTCTCTTTTGCTGATCAGCAGTTCAACTCTATTACCGGTTCCGTGGCAGACAGTCAACTTTCGGATTGTAATTCGATGTTTGATGTTTCAGTCACGCCGCCAGAGGCCAATGATATGTCCTGGGACATGTACATGAAGATTTCCGATGATGACAAGCTATTGAACCCTAAGTTGGGATTTGGATTTATGGACCAGGGTTCCATGGCGTTGACTGATCCGCAATGGGAACAATATCCAACACTAGGAGATGGAGGCAGCGAGTTGCTGCAGCAATTCAATTCTCATGTCTCGCAATTAGGCATTGAAGATGAAGCTTGGTATTTTGAACCAGATCCAAGCCACCTGGATCATGCTGGTCGACCTTTAAATGAGCCAGTGGGAAAAGCAGAGAAAAAATTATCCGAAGGCTGGAATGGAAAGAAGCGGAAGTCTCGCGAACCCATAATCATTACACAAGGGAAACAAGCCGACACTGAAAGAATGAAGAGAAAGAGAGAAGCTGATAAAAAGTATCGGGCAGAGCTTAAGGTAATTAAAAACTCTCTGTTAAGTACCTCCAAGTTCTACACTTGGTAACCTTTTGTTTTCTGTTTGCAAATGAAGATGGAGTTAAAACAGCTGAGGACGATGAAGCTACAGTATGATAAACTGATGACAACAGTGTCCAGATTTGGGGGAATTGTCCAAATGGTGTCATATATTAACCACAGTATTCGCATTCACTCTGAGCTACTTAGACTGCAGCCAGAGCAGGTAAATTACGATTCCTCAAATTCAATATGCTTTAATTTTCTCTACTTCTATCAATTAAAGCAACAAATTCTTCACTCGCCTCATGCTAGTTTAATTGATGTGAAGGACGAGGAATTGGAGGCCATGTCCCAGAGACCGGAACTGATGAAACGCAAGCACGGAGGAATTGAGAACATGGGATCCATATTGTTGGATAAATTCAAGGATATGGTGGCAGAATCTCGTAAACTAAATGAAATGAAATCAAAGTTGGGAATTCAGGAAATAGAGTCCATAGTGGAGAAATTCAAGGAAATGGAGGTCGAGTTAAAGAGCCTTAAGCAAAAATTACACAACCAAGAGGAACTGGAATCCTTTCCCTTTCCGCTATCTCCTGGTACTCGACAGGTATATTTCTTGCCCCCTATAAGTTTTGCTTTGTTAGGGAACATTCTGGCTGTGCTAAAACAACGTTTTTTTTTTTTGCAGCAAAAGGAGATGTATGAAGGACAAGTGGAAGATTTCAATAGATTCGAGGAATTGATGTCAAAATTTGGTGGCATTGAAAAAATGGAGTACATGTTGGATAAATTCCCTGAAATGGAGATCGAGCTGAACAGTCTTAAGCAAAGAGAGGACCAACTGCAACTGCAACAGGAATCTTACGGACCTGGTAATCTCCAGGTATCTCCCCCTTTTTCCCTTTACGTTACTCCACTTAGCTTTTTCAGTTCTGTACTACTTGGTTTAGATTTTCTGTTTTCACTAACATATATATATACATATCAGAGTGGGACAATGACCGAGTTGCAGTATTCTGATGTGGTTGTGGATCAATTTACCCAAAGCCTTACTGACGACAACGTCGTAAGCAACTCGGACGACCTCGACAACTTCAATGACCTATTGGAGGGAGACAGGGAAATCGTTGGCAAGTATAAAATCCCAACGCCTCTGGTCTCCACCGCTCAAAATATCCTCAACGTGTATGGTGATATTACCAGAAAAAGCAAATACAGTGTTCACGCTGTCCAGAATATATTTGTTTTGTTTTGTGCTGCCATAAAAGAGATGAGTGATAGGTCGCTTGAACTAGTTACGGAAGATATTATGTGGAAGTTGAGAGACCCTATCATGGACGCTAAACGCAGTGAATTTGATGTCGAATTTGCCATTGAATATTTGAAAACAATTGCTCAAGGCTATTTCGGTCTCAAAGCACGCAGGGATTTCAATAACTTGAAACAGACGGTTGCACGTTTAAGGGCCGATGAAGAAGCCTTGAGACAGGAGCTTGAGAAGAAATCACAAGAGATAAAGGCCACGGAAACAAGACAGAGGGATTTGACATCAGAGAAGTGCAGGATTTGCCAGGAATCCGCTAATAAAATCATGTATAAAACTGCTAGCCTTTTCTAACTGATAGTTTAGAGAAAACCCACTATTTATCATGTTGTATCTGTATCGTGAGTCTGTATCCGTACTTTAAAAAAAATCTTCCATGAGAAGAATGCAAAAAGGGAAACAAATAACTAATTAAACAGATATTTGCATTCCAATTTAAGATCAAGAAATACAATAATACCCATAGACGAAAGAGCCTTAAAAGCAAATACTTTTACAAGGAGACCTAAGAACTAGTAAACTTGGTAACAGCCTTAGTGCCTTCAGACACAGCGTGCTTGGCCAACTCCCCAGGCAGAACCAACCTCACGGCTGTCTGAATCTCCCGAGAGGTAATCGTGGGCTTCTTGTTGTAACGAGCAAGCCTAGAAGCTTCATGAGCAAGCTTCTCGAAGATGTCGTTGATGAAACTGTTCATAATCCCCATGGCCTTACTAGAAATCCCGATATCAGGGTGAACTTGTTTCAAAACCTTGAAGATGTAGATCTTGTAGGTTTCCACGCTCTTCTTGGCTCTCTTCTTCTTCTTGTCGCCGCCTTCCTTGGGTAGTTTCTTCTCGGCTCTAGGCTTTTTCTCGGCTGGCTTCTTCTCAGCTTTTTTCTCTTCTGCTGGCTTCTTCTCGGCAGGCTTCTTCTCAGCTTTTGGAGCCATTGGTAATTTGATTTCAGACAAGTTACACAAATAAAAGATTAGAGAAATCTGTAATTGAACGGGATTGTTGGAGAGGAATGGGTGAATTTATTATATATAGGCATAGAACAAGATTCTGATTGGTAGGTATTGTTTTGCAAGGATCGATGACGTTTGAAGTAGGAGCCGTTGGATTTAAGAGGATGGAATTGAACGGAGAGGATTGGATTGGAATTTTTCGTCTTTGAACTTTAGGAATTTAAGCGGGTTTTGTTTTCGTTTCCAAATTTGTCAACTTTTTTCAGTGAGTTTCGCGGGATTGGATTGGAATTTTTCGTTCTTTTAGGTAGGGCTGTAAAAAACTGATCCGACCTATAAATTTGGCTAAAATTTACTCGAGTCAAAATTATTTTTGACTTATACTGTGACGATCTAAAATCGATTCGAGTTGAAATTTATGTTGACCTGAACTCGATTTGGACTTGAAAATTGTAGATCTGAACCCGACCTGCATCCGACCTATACTCAAATTGAACCGAAAATATGATACTCGAACCCGAAATGCATCCGACTGATATGAACCTGAACCCGAGATTGACCTGGTAAATAACTGGTATTACCCGACATGTTTTTAACCTGACATGTTTTCAACCTGACATGTTTTTAACCTGACCTGTAAATGATCCGACTTGTTAATGACTTGATCTGATATTTATCTTACTTATATATTACCATGAAAATCTTATAAATTATCAGTTTTTTAACTTATGAAGTAATTAAAATATTAATATGATTATTTTTTAAATATTATAATAAAATATTTATTATGATAATTATATTAATAAATAGACCTATTATATAAAATTATTTAATAAAATTATTTAAATGTAAATTAGATAAAACATTATTAATAATGCAAAGGAAAATTAATATAGTTTAATTTATATAAATTATATAGTTTAATTTATATAAAGAAATAATAATAATAATAATAATAAAAGTATTTATTATGTAATATATATTAATGGTTTATATTAATAATATAAATAATTTTGGCAATAAAATAATAATTAATTTGATAATAAATGAATATTAGTATTAAATGTGATTAATTCTCTAAAATATAAATATAAATTATACCATTTAATTTTTGTACAAAAAATTATCTAACAATTATAACATAAATGAAAAATAATATAAATATAAACTATACAGTTTATATAAACTATATACTTTATTACTTTATATAGTTTATGCATAGTATTTCTGTAAATTGCATCGAATTGAAAATTTAAGAAGATATTTACAATTAAACCATGACTAAAATGAACGAAATTAAAAATCAAATACTAGTGGAAAATGATGATTGTTGGAGGAGCATGAGCCTAATTAACCCAAAATATCTTGTTGGACACTATATTTGGCGCCAACTTCCCAAATTTTTTTATTCACTCTAAATTTTCCAATTTCTCTCTAAATTCCCAGTTTTCCTATATTCTCAAAATTTTCTAATTTCCCTCTAAATTCTCAAATAAAATCAAATTTTTTTCGCACAAAAATCTTTCTTTTAAAAAGTTTTCTCTCACAACTCACTTTGAATAATATATATATATATATATATATATATATATATTTAAACATAAGTGACTAAAATAAAAGATTCTAAAATTAACATCAACATTTAATAATTAGCCTACATATATTACAAATATATGCATTAAAAAAACAAAAAACCCTAAACTACTCCTAATCGCCGATTTTTGTGGTGTAGGAGGGAAAAAATTTTGACTTTGGTTTTTAAAATGAGACAAAGCACTAAATGTTGGCCTAACTTTTTAGGTGGTGTGATGTCACTGACCCATGGCTAAAGGTACCAACAAATTCCAACCCTTTGATCAAAAGTAGATCAAATGGCCAAGATATTGTCTTCTCCAAGAAGACCTTCATTAACGTCCTATATATAAATTATAATTAATTTTAATTTTCCTTTCTTTCTTTAATGTGCATAATTATTAAATGTTATGTTAATTTTAGAATATTTTATTTTAGTCACTTATGTTTAATTATATATATATATATATATATACTTAATATATATATATATATTATTCAAAGTGAGTGGTGGGAGAAAATTTTTTAAAAGAAAGATTATTGTGTGAAAAATTTTGATTTTATTTAGGAATTTAGAGGGAAATTTTGAGAATATAGGGAAACTGATAATTTAGAGGGAAATTGGGAAATTTAGAGGGAATAGAAAAATTTGGGAAGTTGGCGCCAAATGTAGTGTCCAACAAGATATTTTGGGTTAATTAGGCTCATGCTCCTCCAACAATCATCATTTTTCCACTTGTATTTGATTTTTAATTTCTTTCATTTTAGTCATGGTTTAATTGTAAATATCTTCTTAAAATTTTAATTCGATGCAATTTATAGAAACACTATGCATAAACTATATAAAGTAATAAAGTATATAGTTTATATAAACCTTAAACCCTAAATCCTAAACTTTAAATAATAAACCCTAAACCCTAAACCTAAACCCCTAATGTATGTATAAACCATGTATAATATATATAAACTATATAAAGTAAATTACTTATATAGTTTATAGAAATACTATGCATAAACTGTATAAAGTAATAAAATATATAGTATATAGAAATCCTAAACCCTAAATAGACTAATGCATACATATATATATACTATATTAATATAAATTATAACTTATAAACTATATAGTTTATATAGTTTATACATATATATATATATATACTATATTAATATAAATAATATTTTATAAACTATATACTTTTTATAGTTTATACATATATAGTTTATATACATAGTTTGTATATATAATTCACATAAACATAATTTATATATAGCTTATAATAATTATATAGTTTATAATATAAATATAGTTTATAATTTTATATACATAGTTTATATATATAGTTCACATAAATATAATTTATATATATAGTTTATAATAATTATATAGTTTATATATAATTTTGTTGAGTTAATCGATCGACGAATATGGCCAAGAGGAGGGTGAATTGGCAATTAAAATTTCGGTGGAAGCTTTTGCAAAAAATTGAAAATATTTGCACAACGATTTAAAGTGGTTCGACTTTCTCAACCAAAGACTACGTCCACTACCTTAGCTATCCACACTAAGGATTTTCCACAAATTCACTAATTTGTCTTTCTTTTGAGGACAAAGAGTAACCTTACAAATCCCTCAATAATTATACCACAAATTCTTGAGAACACTCTCTCCCAAAGAGAACAATACAAATTTTGCAAACTTACAAGAAAATCCTCATAAGGCAAGATATTTGCACAATTCTAGAACAAAGAAAGAACACTCAAGAATAATACAATTGAGTACAATAAGTGTTTGTTGAGTTAATCGATCGATGGAATCGACCAAGAGGGGGGTGAATTGGCAATTAAAATTTTGGTGGAAGCTTTTGCAGAAAATTGAAAAGATTTGCACAGCGATTTATAGTGGTTCGACTTTCTCAATCAAAGTCTATGTCCACTACCTTAGCTATCCACACTAAGGATTTTCCAACAAATTCACTAATTTGTTCTTTCTTTTGAGGCCAAAGAGATAACCTTACAACACCCTCAAGAATTATACCCCAATTATTGAGCACACTCTTTTTCAAAGAGAAATATACAAATTCATAAACTTGCAAGGAAAACTGCATAAGGTAGATTGTTTGCACAATTCTAAAACAAGATAAGAACACTCAAAGATAAATACAATTGAGCACAAATTGTGTTCTTGAAAGAAAAATGAATATTGAAAGGAAATTTGGCTTGAATTGCACAAACTTGATGTTTGATGCTTTCTCTCTTGTTTCTCTATAATTTCTTCTTTCTTGTTGTTGATCAGTGGCTTCTATACTTGTTTAAATACTCATTCAAATGATTCTGAACGTTAGGGATGCTTAGTGGAGTCAATAGAACCGTTTAAGTGTGAAAACAATTAATTAAAGAAGTTGGGAGCGTCAGTGCATCGATGCATACCCATGGTGCATCGATTCATACCAATGGTGCATCGGTGCATCAGTGTAAAATTCAAATACTTTGACCGTTGGACCCTTAGTGCATTGGTGCACTAAGAGTGCATCAATGCATAAAATGCATTCGATGTTTCAAAATAGCAGAGTGCATCGATGCATGGCTTGTGCATCGATACATCAAATGCACTGAGTGCATCAATGTATGGTATATGCATCGATGCATAAAATGCATTCGATGTTCATTTTAATTCATGGTGCATCGATGCATGGATTGGTGCATCGGTGCATAACTTTGAAAATTTGATTTTTGGCTTGATTTTGGTTCAAAATACTTTGTGAAAATTGTTTCAAAAATAGTTTAAGTATAAAACACAATTTTACACTTTTAGTAAGGTTTGAAAATGATCTAGAAAGACTTGGAGTAATAATTTGATATTCGATTAATTAAATCAAATATTCTTAAAAAATCATTTGTAAAATCTTAAAATTCATTTAAACTTAATTTGTTATATCAAAACATCAAAATATTTTCAACAATCTCCCCCTTTTTGATATAACAAAACATTTGTGTTATTTTAAGATTTTCTAAAATTTTGAAATCAATTTTTGAAAAATTACTCCCCCTTGCTATAACACTTCTCTTATCCCCCTTTTTGTTAAATCAAAAAGACTTTAAAACGTTGTAAAACAAAGTTTTGAAAAACATAGCCAATTGATTATAAGTAAATATAGCTTAAGCTGCTCCTTCATCTATGTCAAGCTTTGTTGATGAGCTCATTGGAGTGTCATGAGGTTTCCCATTTTTCAGTCCAAACTTCTTGAGCATATCTTTGACGTACTTAGCTTGATTGATGAAGATTCCATGTTTTCTTTGCTTGATTTGGAGTCCCAAGAAAAAATGAGAGCTCCCCCATCATGCTCATTTCGAATTCACTTTGCATTAGCTTAGAAAATTATTGGCAAAGAACATCATTAGTAGAACCAAATATTATATCATCAACATAAATTTGAACTACTAATAAATCTTTACCTTTATGTTTTAAAAACA